CTACAGAGACAGTACAAAGGTCAGTGGTTAGGGGGATAGGGGAGAAAAGAGATGGACAGCAGGAGCATAGGGGATTTGTAGGGTGTGAAAATTTCTGTATGATATGATGTTGGATACATGACATTGTGCATGTATGAAATACCCAAACACTGTGTAACATATAGAGTGAACTCAAATGTAAACCACAGACTTTAGTTAATAACAACATATCAATATTGGTTCATAATTGTGACAAATACACCACACCAATGCAAGATGAGGGCAACTGTGGGTGGAGGGTAGAAGAAATGTATATATGATAAATCTCTGTGCTTTATGCTCAGATTTTCTTAGTTAACCTAAAACTACTATAAAAAAATAAAGGCTATTAAAAAAAAATCTTAAGATGGTCTGAAGAGGAAAAAGACTGGTTAACCTGAATGAACAGAGAAGTGATTCCATATTATATAATGAAGTGAATTGCTATTATCTCATACATGTTAGTGTATTACAGCATATCTTTAATTGAAATAATATGTGTATAATAAAACACCAGGAAGATTAGTGTAGAATTATCTTTATTTTAGAATTGGAAGGGACCCTAAGGATGAATAAACAGGTTTAGATAAACTTAGAAATTAACCAACTGTGACTATCAAACATTCCAAATGACTCTGAGAAAACGGTTTTGTTTCTGCTGGGGCAAAGTGAATGTGTTAAAGTAAGTGTTGTGGAAAAAAACATTTTCCAGTCTCTATGGATGCAATAAAAACTCTCCTGAAATTTTTATATATGTTCACACATTAGAATATAGCCCAACTTACTATGTCTGTACCTAAATGGTTTGATTTAGCCAGTGCTAATCTTATAGGTTCTTTGAGGGTTTCTAAAGTGATTTCTTTTAAAAATATGTTTTTGCTGCCGAGACCGGTTTGGCTCAATGGATAGAGCGTCGGCTTGGGGACTGAAGGGTCCCGGGTTCGATTCCGGTCAAGGGCATGTACCTTGGTTGCGGGCATATCCCCAGTAGGGGGTGTGCAAGAGGCAGCTGATCGATGACTCTCTCTCATCGATGTTTCTAACTCTCTATCTCTCTCCCTTCCTCTCTGTACAAAAATCAATAAAATATATATTAAAAAAAAAAATAAAAATAAAAATATGTTTTTGCTGATTTTAGAGTAAGAGGGAGAGGGAGAGTAAGAGAGAGAGGGGGAAGGAGTAAGAGGAGAAACATCGACAATTTGCCTCCCATATGAATCTTGATGGGGTTCAAACTCATAATCGGTATGTGCCCTGACTGGGAATCAAACAAGTGACCTTTCAGTGCAGAGGAAGATGCTCAATCAACTGAGCCACAGTGACCAGGGAAAGCTATTTCTTTATCAATAAGAATGATCCACTTTTCCAACTATTTTAAAACTCAGGGCAATAAGCATTGTACTATTGTAGATCATTAGAGAGCTGGTGCAGTCTGGGGTCTGGAGTGTGCATGGTGAAGTTAGACTGCCTAGGTTCAAGCCCTGGTTCAACCACCTGTTGGCTGGGTGACCCTGGGCAAGGTACTCAACTTTTCCTGGCCTCTGGTCCCCCATATGTGAAGTGGGGACAATAGCAATACTTACCTCATGATGAAATGAATGAATGCACATAATAATTTGTGCAGGGACTGACCTACGGTTCTCAAGTGTTAACTGTTATTAGTCCTTATAAACTGATTTTAGGAGACCATGCCTGTATGTCATTTTTGGGATCATCTATGACAACCCATCAGGCCAGTGGCAACATGAAGATATACTTCATGTTGGTAATACTTCTACTTGGGGGTAATTAAATGGTAAAATGTTGGAATCCTCCACTGGGTCCAGTGAGAGCAGGAGCCAAATCTTAAGTTATCTTTATCAAACTGCATCTAAGGAAACATTTCTCAGAACAAGGACCCACAGTGACTTACTTCTTCCTGGGAAAGAAATTTCAATGTCAGCTACAATGCATACTGCTGAACTGAAAAATTATTATTATTATTATTATTATTTTCCAATTTAGAAAGTAAGCCAGGTAAAGTTTGAATCTACAATACTTTGGTCTAAAGATCTTACTGTACATCATATGTGTCCTCAACTATTTCCCCTGGGGAGACTGATCATACGGGGACTTTGAGCTGAACGGCCCGAAAAGAGAGAAAACGGCAACTTGAGGTCCAACCTGAAAACTAACTGCACGTTGAGATCCACACCGTTTCTAGTTGGCGAGAATTCTCATTCACCACCCAGTGGTCCCCGATAGCATCACATCCACGTTTCTGCTTTTGAAAGGCTCCGGTGAACCCAGTGAGTGCAACGTTAGCTCCCGTATCAAAGGCTGATACTTATTTAATCAAGATGGGAAATAAGAGTCTGAAGTATTCTAAGAAGCAATAAAGCTCCCATTTTCATGTAAACCACTCAAAATAACCACCTAGAGCAGCAAACCAGAAGAATGCCCTGAAGAAGAATGGCCTGTGAGTCGGCAGCCCTTTCAGCTTCATTTTAAGCAACAGACAAGTATTTAACGAAATCATTCTCAACTGAGACTATTAAAGTGGCTTTGCCATTGCTAGCGGAATGAAATTTCAGACCCACTTAATTTCAAGAAATTGACTGAAACTCAAATCACAGATTGGGTATACGTTAAACGGTGCTATGAGCTCTACCCACTACTTATGCTGATTATAGTGTTGAAGTAGCTGGATGGACTCGAGTTAATCGAGTTAAGAGTATGAAATCAGAAATGCCAAGTTAATTTCTTAGGTATGTTCATGAAGAGCGCTAACATCATTACAGGGCTTGATGACTGAAAAACATTCCCATTTTCTTCTTGTGCGTTGGTGACATCGTTTAGATGATGTGTATTTAGAATACGTCCAGGTTTTCCAGAATTATAAAACCAGGAGGAACCCTTGAAGGGCTTCTCGTCCAATATTCTCATTTTCTCAGTAGGAAAATGAGGCCCAGGAGACATCGGAGAAGGTAATAATCGCTTGGGCTCTGGGGTCAGAGGGATCTGAGTCCCAGTTCCAGGTGGGCAAATTCTTCACTGTGTGACCTGGGCTCAGCTATTTACACTTGATCTTAGCCTAAAGGCCGAGAAGCGATAGGGCTCAGCTATTTAACTCTATCAGCCAAGCATGTCAAACTTGCGGTCCGGCCCACAATGAATATTTTTGTGGCCCAGCTAATAAAAGGATATGTAAGAAATGTTTTAATAAACATTTTATAACTTAACTTCTACTATATTCTGTATACACAATTATTAATAACGAACTACAACATTTGCTAATGGCTGATTACTGTCACCGTGTTGCATTCACTTCCCTTACATGCCTCATGCGCAGGCGCACCATTTCTCTCCACTAACACTAGCAGTGAATATTTTAGCAGCCGACTGCCACGTCATTAGTCTTCTACTGACTTGTTTGGTGTGTGCAACAGGAAATATTTCGCTTTCGGAGAATAAGAAAAATAGGTTTCTTTGTGTTATACTTATTAATTTGTGCAGTTATTCAGTGTCTGGTAAGTTGTTCTAATATTTTATGTTAACAATGACTCATTTATTTCAGCCCTTTGTATCCAGCATGTCTGTATCGAAATAAAACTTCGTTTCTATGAAGATTGAAGCTTTTGTTTTTTTGCGGACCACATAAACATAAACCTGTCTATTTGGCCCGTGTTAGTCTTTGAGTTTGACAGGCTTGCTCTTCACCTGTGCAATGGGGATAATAGTCGTACTAAACGTATAGGGGTGTGATAAAGATGAAATAAGATGAACATGCACAGGACTCAACACAAAGATGGGCACGTTGTAACTACTCAGGAAATGTTAGCGGTTATGATAACGACTAAAAAGTGACTCATGAGCCAGGTCAGCAGCAACCAAACTAGACTTATACGAGTTCCTAGAACATACCAGAGCTTTTATCATAACACAGTCCCTGTAATAAAGGGTCACTGAAGCAGACAATTTACATATAACTTCTGCATCAAATAGAAAGAAAACTGTTTCAGGCTATCTCCTACTGACTTGATCAAAATATTAGACCAGCGATCACATGCTGAGATCTCAATTTCATGAAGACTCATTTAGCTTTCCATGAGCAATGGGTGTTACACATTTACCTTCAAAACTGTTTTAGTTCAATTATATGCTTTTAAATAACTCCCACCAACAGCTGCTCGTATAAAATAAATGACAAGGTATCTGGCCGAAAATAAAAGCTAGGGTTCACTCACTAATGATGTTAAATCTGAAGCCGGTTAGTTGCTACATGGAATAAGTCCAATATTCTTTATTTGTATGGTCAGCCAGATATTGCTTGGACCCCTGTCCATCTGCTATGGAGGAAGCAAGACTAAGGGACTCATGGGAGAAGGAGCTAGCGTGCTTCTGCAGTGTGAGAGCTGGATTGGCTGGTACAGACTCCAAGGAATCCTGCAGCCACCAATCACAGATGTCTGGAATGGCCAGTTCTGTCAACATTCACTGCTGTTACATGATCCAATGCAGAGTTGAATGTGTTTCTTATACTTAAAAAAGAATCATGAAGCCTCATAAAGAATATTAGCTTTATACAACATGTTCCCGGTATTTCTGCATTTAATAAATTTGAGTTAATTGGCAGCCTTTTCAGAAAATCAGTACGTAGACTGTCAAGTGGGGGCCGAAGACATTTTCTTGTAATAAAAAAGATCAATTTTTTCCTCCTAATCTGGACAATGATCCATGTATATTCAATTTGTTTTAGATATTTAAAAATACGTGTAAATGTCATGCATATAAATATATAAAAAAGACATCAACTCAAACTACAATGAGATGATGAGCTCAAGTATAAACATGAACAAGGCCCGAACACCTTCTCATGTAACACCGGCGTGACTCAGCATCCCAACAGATGAAGAAAACAGCGTTGTGAAAAGCGGCAATCTGCATCCATACCAGCATTGAGTATTTCAGCGATTAGAAATAAAACTGTTTGGCAAACTTACCCTCATTTTTGCACAAGCATCTTGGGTTGATTCTGTCCCCCTGAGCTCTTTAATCAGCATAGAACCTAAATACTAAAACACACACACACACACAAAAAAAAATCCAGTGACTTATATGTACAAACACAAGCAGTGATTTAAAAACATACGGTGGAAGTTACCATTGGCTAGCTCCCCTGGCTGTGAGTTGGCGCACAACTTTTAAGAAGGGACGGTAACTAATCCTAACGAATCGAGACCTCCGGAGAGAGGGCACAGCGGAGTTAACCACAGTTCCGAAAGCTGGAAATTGCTCTTTGTAATGGAACGGCAGCCTTCTCTAAAGACACCATCGTTCACGTCATATTTAACTGCAAAATGGGGGCATCTAAAAATGTTTTCCCTGTGTTGTGTTTTTTTCTTCTTTTTTTTTTTTTTTAAGCAGCAATATCTGCAAAAATAAATCATGCTGCCGTCTATGTAATTACAGGGTTGTGTGAGACAGCTGAGGAGCTGAGCCACAGGCACCCCATTTGGGCTGAGTCGGCTGCTTAGGTAATTAACGTTAGGCTGTTCCAAGGCAGAGATGCCTATTTTGGATCCCTTTCCGTCACAGCTGTGTGGCCTCTGGCGGTTGACCCACCTGAGAAGGGGATGGGAGCCTGTAGGGTGGGACAATGTCACCTCGGTTGTTTAGCCACGGAGGGGGCCCCGGTACAGAGGAACAGTGGAGGGCTGAATGGGGTTCGAGAAAGGCCGGGAAGCTCTCTTCCTGGAATCACCAGCCACTCAGCTCTTAGGTGATGGGACCTCATACTGCCTTAGTACGAACCACCACCACGCCCCAGGTTCTAGCTGGAGCAAACGCGTCTATGTTAGCAAAATGTTTATTTCATCTGGCTATCAAGGGACTCCTCAACTATTTTGTTGTTGTTGCTGTTGTGAATCCTCACCTGAGGATATTTTCCCATTGATATTAAGAGAGTGGAAGGGAGGGGGAGAGACACACAGAGAGAAGTATCGATGTGAGAGAGATACATTGATTGGTTGCCTCCCGCACATGGCCCCAACCAGGGGCGGGGATGGAGCCTGCAGCCGAAGAACATGCCCTTGAACGGGATCGAACCCGGGACCCTTCAGTCTGCAAGGCAATGTTCTATCCACTGAGCTAAACCAACTACGGCCACTCCTCAATTTTTTGAAGCTTCAATAGGTTTTCCATCTGTCATTTTTCCTTCTCTAATTTCCTTCAGAAAAAAAAAAAAAGAGCTCTAGGTGTGTTTTGTTTTACGTGAATTAAGGTAATTATTTTCCTGCTGTGACCGAGGAAACCCTGGCACTCTCTAAAAGCAGGACTGGCAACCAGTCCTGTGGCCTGGGAAGTCCCGACTGGCAGAGGATGGGAAGGGGCACAGCGTGGCCAGAGGCTCTGAAGGAAGGCGTGTTCAGAAAGCCTCTGGAATTTGGAGGAAGAAGGGGGCAATTCACGCCTACAGATTTTGGGAAATGACTATTGAAATAAATCCTGTGTTTCAAGAGTAGCAAGCAGTAAAAGAGGTGCCAATAACACAAAGTGGGGGGAAAAAAAAGGCTAAGCTGCTCAAGATAACCAGAACGCCCATAATTAAGGAAAATGATCTTGGTGAAACCCTTATCTTGTAAGGTATCAGGAAAGTTTATCCTAATTGAAACACTTGCCAGGCAGTTTCCATGCACAGCCGAGGGTTCAGCTACTTTTCCTGCTGTAGTCATGACAACCACCTGGCCCCCAAACCTATGGTATCTTTTGATCAATTACCGGTTCAGATTACTCACAATTCTCAGCTAAGCTTGATTCCCTCTCCTATTAAAAAAAAATCCTTAGTAATAAATCCCACTGATAACAACCAGGAGAGGTTGGAATTTTTATAAGGCGGCAGACCCAATGTTTTGAGACCACTGGTGAACGGAGATGTCTGTATGTGCTACACTGATACTCATTTCCATTTTCAGATTTCAGTGTACAACATTTCATTTAAAATACAGCCGAAACCGGTCTGGTTCAGTGGATAGAGTGTCTGCTTGCGGACTGAAATTCAGGTCTCAGCTTCGATTTCGGTCAAGGGCATGTACCTTGGTTGCGGGCACATCCCCAGTAGGGGGTGTGCAAGAGGCAGCTGGTCAATGATTCTCTCTCAGTGATGTTTCTAATTCTCTATCCCTCTCTCTTCTTCTCTGTAAAAAAATAAATAAAATATATTAAAAAATATATACAATTATATAATAAGGGAAAACAGATCTTAAGCTCCTACGATTAAAAGAGTTATAAAGCTCTATGTATTTGGGGAAACCATTTTAGGAAGATGGGCATTTTGGTATATTTTCAATATAAAATAAAGAAGCCAGAAATACACCCTCTGTCCCTACGCAGACCCAAATACCGAATGCAAGGTAACTTACGAAAGCTTTGTAATCACAAGACTGGAAGATGAGCTTTTCGGGGTGGTGCTGCCAATACTGAACTGGAGTTGAGGCTGTAGCTTCATTTGGAGGGCGCAAGGTGATGGAAGGTTCTCCCCAGTCTCCTGTCTGAAAATCACATTTATTCCAGAGGTAATATGAGCAGTCGGCAAAGTTCATTCCCTGTGGCTAGCCCAAGTTCATCGTATACACAGGTGCTGCACATGTGCGAATAAATCTGCGTGTCTTACACTAGTATGTATATACTTTTGCTGTTTATTATGGTTTTATATGTATTTCCCAAAGCTGAGTTAATTTTGAGGTGTGAAAGTTGAGTTATTCTATTGTTAGAATGATACTGCAAACTAAATAATTTAAAATTAAAGGCCTGTAAGATATTCGTAAGTGGTTTACTAATTCATACTTTCCTCGTACAGGGGAAAGAACGCCTAATCTTTGAGAGTGTTTTCTGTTTTTAAACCTGACTGTCTGACATTTTTAGTTTGAATTGCTTTTATGTGCAGAATACTCAGTTCCACAAATATCACGTTCCAAGTATGACAGGTACCATGTCCTTTGAATAATTTTATCTCTGGAGAAAAGCTTCTATGTGATACTAAACAACATTTTAGAAGAAAGGTTTACTAATGGATGGCAACTAGTTTCCCTCCTGACTTCATTTGCATTGACATAATGCCACTGTAATTGTTTTGGCATACACAGATTATGTTTGGTCATATGTGTATATGCATGTCACTGAGGATCCTGGCTCACAAATACAAGCATAGAGGCATATGCTGGGATATCATAGAACACATATGCCCAGTAGGGCAGACCCATCATTGGACTTATCATTTTTCACGAGGTTAGCCTCAACCTGTTTTATTGCTTTGGCATACCTCAGAGATGCTGCAGGTTCGATCTCAGACCACCACAATCATGTGAGTATTACAACAAAGACAGTCATAATCTTTATTTTTTATTTTAGTCGTAAACTTTTTGCCTTCCATTTGAAAAAAAAAAATACAACATCCATGAAGCTCAATGAAGCGGAGCACAATAAAACCCAGTCTGCTTGAATACGGTGTAGTGTGAGATCTATAAAGTCAAAGGCCTGTGTTGGCAGGCCTTTTCTGAGCTCTAGTCTGATTTAGATATTACACATGGGAGATTTCTTACTCTTTCCCCTGGCCAAAATTCTGTTCTTTCTTCTCAAATAGACATAATTAAAACTAGACAGTAGGCAGATTTCCAAAGCCACTCTTTCCTACCCTGGATTTGGCTGGTCTCATAGAATTATGAGAAATTACCTTTCTTAGAAGATAAAAGAATATAAAATGGTCTCATGAGCTCTCAAACCAAGCCAAACCTTGGCTAGAGACCACGGTCCATGGATGTACTAGCATACGGGTTGACAATGTAGGATTTTCAAGGAGTCTAGGACAACAATGCAACATTTTGGACGTAGGTGCTTTGGAGGAGAAAGTCCATAGCTTTCATTAAATTCTCTGAAAAAATATAGAGATTCCCAAATACTAATAACCACAATTCTCCAGGATGTGTATTTTGGGGAAGAGGACTGGCGTTTCAATTTTTCCTGTGCACTTGGGGCTTCTAGTAAGTGGCCTGTCAGGTGGCTGCCAATGCTGGAACATGTTTAGGCATAGGCTTTGCCTTCTGGAAGTTTCTATCTGGCTTTGGAAATCCAGAAGGAAATTCTAGAGTCCCTTGGGAATGCGTATACCTTTTCATAGAGGGAGAGAGCATCTTTAAGATGGGTCACCCCAGTCTTATTCAGAGAAGCTCTTTCCTGGGCTTCTCGCTGGAGTGTGTGACCAGTCAGACCCCTCTCACTCCTCTCTCATGTTCTAATATGAGCTACTCTGTGAGTTTGTTTTCTTCTAGTTGATGGTTTACATGCAGATGGCGTGGTCCTTCTATCCCCCATCTGTGGATACTGTTAGGATTTTACTTGGGATATCTATTTTAGCATTTTTGTCTGTTTTATGATCCATCTCTGATTCATTCTTGAGTTTTTTCTTCATAGCGATATGAATGTTTATTACGTAAGAACCACAACTGACTGCAATTAAGGTTAGCATTAAGTTTTCCCCTGGCTTCCTATTTTGATTGTTTCTTTTCCTTCTTTCTCAAACATCTGGCTCTTGATTATTTCTCCAGTCTTCATTGCAACTGGTTGTGATTTGGTCTAAAAAAAAAAATCCAGCATAACATTTAAAAAATGTAGGCTATGTAGATTTCAACATTATTTTGAGACTGAGTATAATGACTTCTAAGTGACAATTTCTCTCTGGAAACATGCAGCTATGTGTACTTAATTAAAAGCTCATCCTCTAATCTCCCCCATTAATTTTCCCTCTTTCCCTCCCCCACCCCATAAAGCAACAACAACATAGCAAACAGGTGTTGTACATTTAAGTCACAGGTAACACTGTCAACGGAACAACAGAAGTTTGCACACAACTCCGTGGAATGGTACAAAAGGAGCTGGTTGGCATCATAAGATCCTTCGATCCAGCATCTGCTGAAGTGACAGCTCAAACCAAGCATCAGGTCATCGCGTTAGCCCTGTCACAGTTTAACTGAGGAACCTGGGCAGAGCTCAGCAGGCAGTTTCACCACAGCCTTCACAGACACAGCAGGAGCTGGGGGGCACGATGGATTGCAGGAGGAGGGGGTGGGTGGGGCGAAGCTGGAGTTATGGGGACATTTCAGGTGTTAGTACATTAAGCATGCAAATCATATGCAAACTCATTCTCAACTGTTTCATTAACTCAGGCACTTTTGTAATTGAACTTCAATGTGCGTTCCATACACTTAAAGCAGAACTACAGCCAAATGCTGATCCAAATATTTACATCATCCAGCATACACTGTAGCAGCCATTTTGGGAATAATGGGCCCCAGCACATACCACCTCCATCTGGAAATACGAGATAACCACTTGAAGAAATGAGTGGCACATCCATTTGACTCTGTTTGGCAACAGCATCATCTGTTCTCTCAGGATTTCACTTTGTCCAGAAATCACAAACCACCTGCTTTGAATCCAGAGTGATCAGACGGGACCTCCCCCTCGTAAGATAATTATAGAGAAGAGAAATATAATCCTTACTTTACTTTCTTGCTGGCCTTGAAACATTGCTCGAGTCCAAATATTTTTAAATTCTCTATGTGGCTGAATCTACCTTTTCTGGAAATAGAAATTGAGTTTGATTATACTTAGTGCTATTTCCAGAAGTTCATTTTCAAACGGAGGGTAAAGTGTTCTTAATATTGAATTGGTAAGGAAATAAATTTCTTTTCTTCCTGGATATTCATCAACTGGTTTGTTTTAAACCTTAGAGCTAAGAATACTTAGAAGACTCAGCTCAGGTGTCGCATATTCCCTCTGGAATTAATTTTAACAGGGACGATGGACTTGGCATCACACTGCAGTGAAGGGCACCTGTGGTCTTGGCCCTCAAGTGGGATTCAGCGTCCCCTGGCTGATTGACAGTAGGAACGAAAGAGTTCAGAGAACAAGGGTGCTTTAGGTTTCAGCTCTCCTGTAGGTTAAATTACAACAGGAACGAGCTAGGACAGTGGTCATCGGCAAACTCATTAGTCAACAGAGCCAAATATCAACAGTACGACGATTGAAATGTCTTCTGAGAGCCAAATTTTTAAAATGTAAACTTCTTCTAATGCCACTTCTTCAAAGTAGACTCGGCCAGGCCGTCGTATTTTGTGGAAGAGCCACACTCAAGGGGCCAAAGAGCCACATGTGGCTCATGAGCCGCAGTTTGCCGACCACTGAGCTAGGAGGAGGTGGGGAGAGTACCGACTATCTGGGGTTTGGCCTTGTATGTAAAATAAATTCAAACTATTAGCTTCTGTTAAATAGTACACTGGTACCTAGATAATACCTATATTTTTTCAGGTAAATTTTAAGAACTAATAATCTTTCAGTTAAAAATGTTTCCTAAATATGAAATAAAAATCAAAGAGACCAAAAAGGTCTTTGGCCTCAAATAATAATTTATAATAAAACTTTATCTTTAATGAAAAGTAGATCTAAACATGGGTACAATGAAGCAATGATGTTTAACCAGAATAAAAAAATGAAACAGGAAATGTCTGGGGTAAATTCTGTCATATTTTAAACTACCACTGACTGGCAGTACTTTTTAAGAAGCTTAAGTAATTACATAAGAATAATGGAAATAATTCAAGCCACTCTTCCTAAACGTGTTCAGGTTATCTCTTTAGAGTTTAAATACTTAAGAGAAAAACTTTTCCTTTAGGCTCTTGTATTGAATGATCTTAATGTTTCAATAATTGGGCAGTGGCTTGAAACATAATTTCCTTGGTACGTATTTATTTATTTCCTTTAGGATGTATCAATTACACAGAGGAAAATGTACTTTATTAACTATGCCTTTAAACTCAAATAAAAATTAACCTTCTAATAGAAAGATAAAGTATAATTTGCCCAGCCGATATGACTCAATGGTTGAATGCTGACCTGTGAATCACTGGGTCACACGCCTGGTGGTGGGTTCAGTCCCCAGTAAGAAAAAGCATGATTTGAGATTACAATTTTAAATGGAGAACTGATTCTGTGTAACAGGTATTTACCAACCGCCAACTACAATAGAAATCCATAGTTGGGCTGAATCTGAAAGATCATATAATTGGGTCGTATTTAGTACGATGACATTAAATTAAGTGTCTCAGATCACCAGCTGAAAAATAGAAAACTAGGAGCTGAATTTAGTTATAGTACAGGAAAATAATTCACCGAAGTCTACAGATAGGTTTTGATTGCATGGCAGAGTCCTAAGCAGCTTTTAAACTTTGTATTATTTCAAAAAGGTGGCAAAGCTGCATGGTTTTAGTACAAATACACCAAATGCCTAAGGCAGATGTTGACATATCTTATCATATAGCTTCCTCCCCCCAGAAAAGGAAACGGAAGATACTACATATTCTAGATACTCTGAGAATACAAAAGGGGAAGAATTCTCTGTATTCTTTTTTCTTCTTGAGAAAATTTATTTCCTTCCTAAGGATGCCAGTAAGTAAAAGCCATGGCTATGACTTGGATTTCTAACACGACAGGAAGGCATGGTATCATCCAAGCCCTCGCTTACTCTTTTAAAATTTATTTTTTAAATTAGAATTTAATTGGCTTTTTAAACACGGAGGCTTTTAAATCTTTCCTACCAGGAACTGCTCCCACCTACCTGTTTGCAAATTTAGATCTGAATATTAACAAACATTATATCCTACTTCTTCAAAAACACTTAACGGAAAACCAAAATGATTTTAAAGGACAACTGCTATTTTAAGGTTTCACTCTCAATAATTCTGACAAATGTCAGAGAGGGGCTCCCCAAACATCAGACATAAAATTTCTGTGATTACCTTTACTTTTCTGCTCTAAGGCTTTGCAGAATGCTACATATAGCTCTCTGCTTATAAATATGTATACGGCTATTTGGATGTGAATGTAAGAAAAAGCATCCTGCAAACATGTACACACACACACACACACACACACACACACACACACACAAAAGCAGGATGCTGTTGTAGTTCCTTTAAAAAAAAACAAAAACTTTCAAGAATAAAGAATGCCCGTTTGGTCCAATGCAGTTGGTTATAATGAGCTTGTTCCTTTGGATGATACAGAGCAGAGATGGCCATATCGGAACACGAAGAGCACGTTTTAGTATTTGCAGGTTCAGGAGGAACTGCTGGCCCTCAGAGCACCAGCACCAGGCAACGTCTCCCCCCCCCCCCCCCCCCCGCCCCCAAGAGCCAGAAGTCCCATGCACAGGAGGAGGGGTGTGCTGGCGTGGCACCCCGAGAGAGCCCCCTCGCATGCCACCCCATGAGCTCTGCTTTGTGATTCTCAGCCAAATGCCACAGCCTCTCAGACGGTAGGGTAGGCTTAGTCAATGGGAATCATTGAACAGGTCGTGAAAACGGGGCTGTGGTTTCAATGACAAAAGGGAAACAAACTCAAACATTAAAATGGTTCCTTTCCCAACACAAATGAATTTGGGTGGAATGTGAACATGTGAGTACTATTCAGCAGCTCAGAGTAAAATGGGTCATGAGTCCATGTTCCAGAGATCAGTTCAGTGCTGTCAGATGCAAAAGGCTGAGAACCACTTTTAGCTGTAACAGTGCCTCCCCTGGCTCGCCTCCTCCCACATTTGCATAAAACGGATACGGAAGATCATGCAGCTCACACTCCAGTTTTTCTCACTAGGAAAGCGCAGGGACCTTTGAGAACTGTTAGACATGATGGGTTGACTAGCCCATGGACATGGGGAAGTACAAAATGGGGCAGAAAAACACCGATATATACACACACACACACACACACGTGCATATATATCTCTATTTACCCTTTTCCTTCTTCCTGTAAAAGCAAGTTACACAGACACCTGATACGAAAGCCAAAACTCACATAAGACAGATTTTAATCGTGGACTTCAAAACCAAGTATGTTTCTCACTTTAGGACAATGTTTGCACGTCAACGGGTCACAAGGCACAGCGGATGAAGTATCATACACAAAAGTGAAAATAAAAATCTCAGGAGTCATTAGACATCACGCAGTTTCTGCATTTGCTGGGACACGGTCCCTGTGGCCACCAACAACACTTTGCAACACATCACACAGCGCAGGTTCAGGACAAGAACGTAACCGGTTGTAGCCTTACATTATGGACCTGGTGGATGGCTGAGAAAGGGAATCCAGCGTTCTGATTCGTCCATATCTCACAGACAGACGACTGCTGATATAAACAGAAAACTATCTCATCTTGTCAATATTTAAAACATGGCAGCTACCGAGGTAGCATCAAGGAAGGGAGAGAGGAAAATAATAAAAAGCAAAAGCATCACATTTCTTAAAAAAAAAAAAAAAAAAGAAAAGAAAAAAGCTAAAAAAAAAAAAAAAAAAAAAAAAAGCCCAAGGATTAATCATTGACTTCTAAGCCATTCTTTTGCTTAAAAACATTTTGGATTGGCTAGGAAAAAAGAAAAAAGAAAAAAGAAGAGCATTTAGGTGTTAGCTTCATATAAAAGGAAATGACCATTCACACTGGGAAAAGCCAGCTGTGGTTTACTTTTGCCGAAGAGAACGGAAATAGTTTCCCTCTTCACATCATTTCAGAGGATCCAGAAGGAGGGGAGAAAACCTTTAACATCCATCAAACATCTTCATTTTCTTATCTTCAAATGACCACGAGCAAACAATGCAGTAAATGACTTTCGTGATTTAGTCATTGCTCCTCCATTCGATAAACCGAAACGATATTTTCCCCTCTGGAGTTCTCAAGGGCAGACCTCTGTGGTTAACAAGGGGTGAAGTGCCAGCGTGCCGCCCGGAACAGGGAGGGTGTGGTGGCGAAGGTGGCGGGAAGGAGGCTGGGGTTGGGGGGTCAGTTCTGTAATTCAAGCAGAAACTTTGGGGAACAGCATTTGTGCACTGAATGGATCAGCTCCGTAATTGGCTCTCTCCGCCGTACCACTGCCAATCTAACAGCTAGCAATTATTGGGAGGCAATGAGGTCTGCTTAGGGCCAAACTAACCAACAGCCCCTCGCAGGAGTTAGAGTGGAAACCACCAGACAAAGTGACCAGGCGCCTGGCTGACCTTTGCTGTTCTTTTCTGGGAAAGGAGTGAGTTCCATCACTGTCTAAAAGACGCCCTGGAATGGAATTACTCAGCCAGCACTGTGGACACCCTGAGGATTCATGAGTAGAGAGAGGTACCGAGATCAGTGCAGGAAGGAGATAAAAACATACCCATGATATGGTTCAGAAACCTAGTAAAGAACAACATCACAAGAAATTTAACGTCTTTTTCTCCAGCTACATCTACACATACGTACGTCTTTGCTTTCCATCCCTCCTGTGATCTGATGGCTTGCTGAGGACAGAGTGTTGGGTAACTGGCATTCTATTAAGCAAGAAAGACCCCCAAGGTCCAAAGCAAAAGGCACCTCCAACCCCCTTCCACTTACACCAGCTCTGCTCTTCCTAGCTCCCTCTTAAGCTTCAAGTCATTTTCTCCACAGGGGCATCTTCCTCTTCCTACTGTTCAAAAAGGCAATCCCTAGCTGTTGAAGTCTTGGGCCCCTCAACCCCCACAGCCTCATCTCCAACAGCCGCCATTTGACTTGAATGTAGTCCCTCCCTCCCTCCGTGGGATTACCATCCTAAAAGGTACAGAATCCCTCCCAGCCTCCCCATGGCCGTGCTGCACGCTCACCCCCAGGTCTGAGCTAATCCTTGTCTGTAAATCACACCTCCCACCATGTCCACAGACGGGCTAGCAGTAGCCCAGGGATGCCTGTCATCTGTAGATGAAGACACCAAGTGGCCTCTCAGGTCACACGGAGTGTCATGCATGTCAGCCTGATGGGATAGGCAGCAAGGCATGGGATTGACTTCACCGGAAGGCAGAGGGACCCTGGTTACATGGAACTTGTTTTGCTGATCCTGAAACAAATGTAACAGCGTGTCCCCCAAAATGTATATGCCCCTTAACAGCTGATCGCTCAATTTTGAAAGTGAACTGTAGTTTAATAAACTCTGCCTTTATCATTATTCAAGGTTTGTATACATATTTCTGGGGGACATCTTATATATACATGGGATTTGTTCAACTCTTCTCAACTCTCTCAACTCTTCTGGGGTTCAAATGCTTGAATGTTTTACTGTTTTCTCCTCATTGCTCCCACATGGGCCATGCCCAGTCCCTCCTTCCAGATGGGCAACTGATATTTCGGGAACAGTGCGTGCCTTCCTGGTCCCTTTGAGTCTTAAAGAGACCATTTTGTATAAAACTCCAACGTCCTATCTAATTCAAACGCTGCTCTCCCTCACCACAGGCCAGTCTTGGGTGCCCTCAGCCCCAAGCTCTGCCTCCCTCCTGTGCTCAGTTGGGGAGGAGGGTACAGAAGGGCTTGGGGCTTTCTTAGCTGGCGGAGGCCGGGTAGTCTCTGTGGTTGTCAGGGGAATACTAACTTGGCTTCTGATACCCTCTTGAAGGCACAGCCCTGTTGGGTTGTACTGTATCCACATGCATTCTTGGAGGGCTCTTCAGGAGAGGGTGTGGGTCCCCACAGCTCTGGCCCCAGCGTGGCTTCCTCCACTCAGCCCTCCGCGAACACATGCATGCACCTTGGGTGGGATGCCGGGAGAGGGCGTAAGCTCAGCTCCCTCTGCACACCCGGTCCCATCACGTGGACACGGCGTTTTCATGCAGGGCAGGCTGGTCGGCGACCGCTCCCCTCCCTGCCAGGATATCTCTTTCCAATTCTCTAATTTTCAGCTCAGGTTGGTGCTACGTGATCTGCCTGCCAGGAGTCCAACTGTGGGAAGAGATGTGCTCCCCCTTCTTGCAGGCTCCCCAACTCTGGTAAGGAGCCACATGGGGCCGTCTCCCCAGGCTTGGAGAGCATGGGGACACGTTCTTTTGCCTCTCCCACGAAGGCAGGAAAGCTTCATCTCTCTCTGCAGTGGCTCAGACCATTCTCTGCCCTTCCCAGCACTGGTCTGTTCCATGACTGGTAGCTGAGGGCAGGCTCACCACTCTTGGTACGCCCCGAACAGGGTGCATCTTTCTCTTTAGAATGTGCGCTATTTACAGGAAAATTCCCACTAAGCATCCTGTTATACGAATATATCTTCCAACAGTGCCTCAAAGTTACTAGAGAGTTAAGGAGGAAAAAGAGGGTCTCACGCCATAGTTATATATTTTTAAATTCATATAAAAATTTTTTCTCAATGAAGAGAAAAATCCCACCTCTAGTCATATACACTGAAGAGAGAGAGAGTTCATATGTGGCTTACATATCTTTAAAGTAGTAAGAACTATTTTCCACGTATAAGCTATGTTTTAAACTTAGTAAACTAAAACCTCCCAAATGGTAAAATGTCATATTTAAAAAAGTTTAAAATAGAGGCAGTAAATTATATTTTAGTTTTGAAGGTTGTTTTGTAAGAAGCTGAAACATTTCAGATATCACTGGAATTCTGTTGGCAGGAAAGGACTTATCAGGCTCACAAAGCAGTAACTTAAGGTGGACCAGCTGTGACTTTATCACATGAAATGGCTCTTCTTGCACATGGTTATTAGACTGAGTGCTGGAATAAATGTTTTAAATACAGAAGTTTCTGCTGTGAAATTTCATATTTATAAAGATAATATTTCAGGGTATACCATGTATTAAAACACCGAGTTCTGAAAAGTTTTGAGAAAGAAAATATCCTATATAATAAAAGGGTAATATGCAAATTGAACCTCACAGCAGAATGACAGGGAACAACTGGTTACTATCACACGCACTGACCACCAGAGGGCAGATGCTTAATGCAGGAGCTGCCCCCTGGTGGTCAGTGCACTCTCACAGGGGGAGCTCTCCTTAGCTACAAGCCAGCTGATGGCTGCCAGTGTAGCTGCAGTGGCGGGAGCCTCTTCCACCTCCTCGGCAGGGCTAAAGCTATCTGACTGTGGCTTAGGCAGACATCCCCCGAGGGCTGCTGGGCCGCAAGAGGGATGTCTGACTGCCAGCTTAGGCCCAATCCCCTGGGGAGCGAGCCTAAGATGGCAGGTGGACATCCCCCAAGGGCTCCCAGACTGTGAGAGGGTGCAAGCCAGGCTGAGGGGTCCCCCTTCCCCCCAACCCAAGTGCATGAATTTTCCTGTACCGGGACTCTAGTGTAATAAAATTTCACCCGAGGCCCCAATTCCTAGAACAGTAGTGATTTAAACAGAACTGAGTTTTAATTAAGCCTTAGAATGTCTTTAAATGTAAAGACGAATAATAATAGTACTTGACCTACATAGCTCACTAGGTTGTTGTACAGCTCATGGTAAGCTTCATGAGAAAGATACTTTTTCCACAACTTCTAGGACCTAAATTCCTAGGATGTTTGGAACACAGAAGGATATCAAGCATGTTGACTGAAGGATGGAATCATTCATAGGATGTGTTCAAAGATGTCCTGGTTAGTGGTAAAGCACTACAGGGACATTCATTCATGTTATTCATTCTCATTTGTAGCTGGTCCAGTGATCGTTAGTACTTGTGCCTTTCAACTAGTCATTGCAGACACATTTCTGGTAAAATGCACCAGAAACCAACCCTGCCGACTTCTTGTTAGAAATGTTCTCATTTTTCCTGATAAGAGCTGAAAAAATGTGGCCAACTTGGTTGATGAGGGTAGGAACATTTGTAATTAGCATGCCTGCATGTTACAGGGCTTCTTGGAAACAATTCTATAAAAGGATTTTAAACACCCCTTTACAATTTCATTTGCTTATTAATTTTCTCTCAACCCTTTCCCACATATATTGGTAATGTAGTTGATCTGAACCCGAATCATCATGATATCCAAATAAATGGGGGTTAAGTAAAAATATAGTAGCCTTACAACTGATATAAAATTAATACTTTAGTGTTTACTTCTTTGATGATGAAGTCAACAGAAATTTGGGGGATGCCTAATTTTATCTTTAGTTCAAACCTGCCTCCTGACTCTGGAAACGTTTTCTTAAAATACAACATACATCTTGCTCTTGTTACCATCTGTCTTTCAGGTTAGTATGAATTCAGTTCAGAGAATATAACATATTTGCAATGAAAACCTAAGAATAAAATGAAAGCATTTTACTTATTTCCAAGGTTTTGCTCCTAAAGGTGGACTTCTTTTCTGCTCAACTGGTAGCAATCAAGTAGTTTATAATAAGCTGTCTCTCCATCTTTCATTCCTCCCCAACCTC